TGCCACCGATCCATCTAGATTGTGCTTGACCCTGAAAATTCATTTATATCCGACAATGTTTTGTGTGTTAGTGGGGGGAACTAGTTCCCATGTGGAGTTTCGAACAGGAGCATCAAATTCATTGCATATGGCAGTACGTACGCCATTGTGGATGTTTTTTAGCTTGTGTTATGGAAGTAGGCTCTATGGGTTCGCGTAAGATATGGGCAGTGGTCAAAAAAAATTTCTTGGGTTTAAAAATATTATGTTTTGATCGAGTAATCATGGGATGAGTTGGAAGGGTTGGTGGCGGTTTTTGGGATGGTTGATTCAAAGGATTTATGGGCGAAAGATTTCTTACCTTTGGTAATGAAGAAGTCGTGGACTTGCTGACGAAGGATGAGGAAAGTAAATCTCCATGAGTTGGCGACGTGGATGATGATAAATTAGGAGATTATGAGGTAAAAGGGAGAAGATTATGACTGGTGATTCAGTGAATTATCTCTATAGTATTTGGTGGGATTGGAGTTAATTAAGGTATCTGAATTTGGAATGGTCGAATCAATGGATGGGGCGGGAACGTTGGTAGCTTCTTGAAAATTAAGAAAATTTATTTCCTGAGTTACGGTCGTGACTACAAGGACGTGAGGATGACAAATTTAGGGAAGGCCAAGTAGCTTGAACATCGTTGTTGACTCTAGATTCTTAGGATTCGAGGTTTTGAAATGGGAAGATATCTTCCACAAAAACAACATGACTGGAAAAGAAAACTTTTGATGTAGTCGGATCAAGACATTTGTATGAATTATGAGCCGTTGAGTAACCTAGGAATACACTTGGTCTTAACCGTGGTTCTAGTTTATGGTTAGTGTATGGTCGTAACCGTGGATAGAAGGGGCAATAAAATGTCTTGAGTTTATGATAATTGGGTTTAGTGTTGAACAAATTTTCAAATGGTGACTTATTGACAATGATTGGGGTTGGTAGTCCATTAATGAGGTAGGTAGCGACTTGAAAAGAAGCCAACCAGAACTTAAGAGGAAGAGATGCCTGATGAAGAAGAGTCAAGCCAGTCGCAACGACATGGCGATATCATCGTTTAGCCGTCCCTACGAATTGAGGGGTGTGTAGTGGAAAGATAAGATGCTGAATGCCCAGTTTAGAAAGAGTTGGATGAAGACCTTGATATTCTCCTCCACCATCAGAATAGACTGTAATGATTGGTGTTTGAAAATATCGTTCAACTGCATGTTTGAAATTTTTGAATACATTTGTGACATCAGATTTGTAATTAAGAGGAAAGATCTAGGGATATTTTGTGAAATAATTAACGAAAATCACGTAGTATCGAAAATTGTCAAATAATGTAATTGGGGCAGGTCCCCAAACATTTGTAAAAATGATTTCTAAAGGAAAGTCTCTGGCTCTTATTACATAAACAAGAATTACATGCATCTTGAGACGATTTTTCCAAAATAGGAAGAGATTGACACGAAACGACATATTTTAAGACTCGAAGAGACGGGTGACCCAAGCGACAATGCTATTGATTGAGAAAGACTTTATTGGAGAGAAAAACTACGGCTTAGATGGGCTTGAGGTGGTTGGCCACTCATATAGATTTCCTTTACTCCGGCTTTAGACAAGCGTTGCCTCCATGTTCAGATCCTTCACAACATAGAAAGATAGGAAAAATTCAATTGCCATTTTATTTTGTTGGCAAAATTGTGATACAGATAATAAATTTTTACGGATTAATGGAGCACACAGGCTATTATTAAGTGTAAAAACAGAATTAGGGGTAACAAGCTGAGTGGATCCAGTATAAGTAATTGGGACACCATTACCATCATCGACGAGAATATCGTCATTGCCGTCATAATCTGAATGGATTTATAGATTCTGAAAATCTAAGGTTATAAGGTGAGATGCTCAAGACTCCCCCACCCAATTGTTGTTGCTATTTAAAGAGCCCCCAGCTGCAAAGATGGCTCGTGGTTCATAATATGGTGGTGGCTTGGATCTGCAGTATCTGGCGGTGTGCCCAACCTTGTCACAGAGTTGACAGATAACTCGTGGCCTATTATTGTATGAGGGACGACCTTATTGACCGAATTGTCAGTTGCCTTGTTGATGACGATTCCCCTGATAGCTTTGATTCTGGGAATTGTTGTCATTATTAGAATTCTGTCATTTCTTACTGTTCCAGTTATTGCCATTGGATTTGTTGGAGGCTTTCTGAGTGAGTTGAGCGGTGATGGTTTGACTTTCTTTTTCATAAAGATTTCATGATCCAACAGTTTGTCATGTAGCTCCTTAAAAGTAATAAGAGTATCACATGCTCTAACAGCAACACTAACTATTTTGTCTTTTCCAGATTCTGTATTCTGGATTTGAGACGATTGGATCACCTTTTTTTTTTTTTTATGAATGTTGATGGTTAGGTGTAGGTGCCATCGACAAACCTCATCAGATCATACCCTTCTAGGAAAGTAATGACCTGGGTTCTCGGTGGGGTAAATTTTGTCGGTAAGCTTGAGAGGAAGGTGAGTTGCATTGAAGGCAACAACTGAGTTGGCAGATGAATTATTGCTAGGGGTGATAACAGTGGGATTAGGGGTGGATTCTCCGTAGATGATGCGTCGGCCATTTGGTATACAACGAGATAGGAATTTTGGTGTGAGAAGGGAGGCTTGGCTTAAACAAGAAATAAGGATGATAAAATGATCGTTAAAGCAAGACATGCTCTGATACCATAATAAAACACAAAAAATTGTGAAATTCTCCTATACTTTCTATTATTTGTACATTGCTCAATATATACAAAATAGCGAGAGATAGAAATAGAAACGTGCCCCTAATTACATGCTATACCGGTGGATCATGATCTGTACATAATTGCATAGAGATAAATATGGAAAGTATGATCTGGACGTTAAGTTGGCGATATTGGTGGAGCTTTATGTGTGATCTTTCTTTCAGCAACCACATAGGACCATAGGTCCATGTTGATTGTATATATATAATAAATTAAATAAAAAAAGGTGTTTCCCTTTGTTAGGTAATAACTACTACAACCTGTTTAAAAAAAAAATTGTAAATTCGAGAAATATAAAATTATTATCAAAATTAAAACCAATTATTTGGTTTTCACACCAACAATGAAGTAGGCTCTCTAGACAGAAAAATCAAGTATATATTTTAACATACTATAAAATGAATTTCTACAATGTTTATTGTAATCAAACTTGTTATAAATATATTTACTACTTTTTCCTAAACTTGAATCCAATTTTCTTCACAGCTTATATTCTTCAAGCCATTTTTGCTTGTTAACCCTTGCAATAAAATCTTCAACTCTCTTGTTCAACTCCTCAACAGGTGAACCAGGCTCCTCTTCTTCACGATAACGATCGTCTTTCCGATCTCTCTTAGTGGCATTTTTTTGAAATGCATTTTAAGCCACCAAAATAACAATTGAGTGATGGGTCTTCGCGGGTCAAAATGGTCCTATCGAAACTGCACGATATTTTGTTTGGCATGCAAATTTGACATTCTAGGTGTCCAAACGATGAATTGAGAAGATATCTTGGTGGATTCTACACATGGTGCTTAATTTAATTATAATTATTTTGTGTGAGTATTGCTTTTGAAAACCCATGGCAAAGTAAGAATGTGTTTCTAAGATGCTTTAGTTTTCACCTCTATTGGATTGGTTGGACATACTAATAATTTGGTATGTCTGGAGCACCCTATATCTATCTATTCCAAATCGACTAGGTTATGGGCCTCAGAATTAATATGAGTGTATTAATTGTCCATTACTTTGTACCATCTAGTATTGTTAAGCACCGATTTCTAAGCCCATATATTAGACCCGTACATCCAAATTTATAATTTGAGTGTGCTTGGTTTAGTTTCTTGAAAATAGTTTTCTATTTTATGAGAAATGAAAATCAAAAAATTGTACAAAAACTTGTTTGGTTGACAAATTTTGAGAACTATTTTCTAAATACTCAATTAAAAAAAAAAAATAATAATAAAGTATGTTTTTTTTAAAGAACTGTCTTTTATAATTATATAAAAATAATTTTTTATTTTTTTAAAACTGTTTTATGAGTGACAAACCAAACAATTCTTTATTACTGTTATGTAACTTCTTATGTTGTAAAAAGATGTTTGTGGATGTACCTTTATGTCCATATGTATACAAATGGACATGCCAGAAAGTTATGTGGGTGGGGGTGGCTTTAACAACAAGATAAAAAAGACAAAATCAGCTTTGAAAAGTTCATTGAACTTTGTAACCCTTTCATTTTCTTCTATTTCTTTTTTTCTTTCATTTCTTAAAAGATAACAAAATCTATTATTTATGCCTAATTTGTATCCCTCCGAATTATTTTATTTTTTTTTCTTTTAATAATTTTTTCATTTCATTTCAACCAAAATGGGCTAAGTCTTCTATTTCACAACCTTTTATTGCATATAAAAAGTCTCCAATTGCCTTTCTTGGAGCCAATTGGCATATTCGTGCCTTTTTCTCTTATAATTGAAGTAGTAGGTGGCACGTGGGTCGAAGGGAGGAAAATAAGCCAAGTTAATATTGATGACATCAAGAGGCCAAAAAGGTTTGTCACAAAATAAAGGGTAATTTGATAATCGAACGAGCAAAAAATCTTAATATTAATAAAGCGTAATTTGATAGCCATTGATGCCCTGTGTAATATTGTTTAGTAGTGTTTTGTTTACTAAAAAAAAAAAAAAATTGAGCAAAACACATTTAAAATGATATATGAATACGACTTAAAAATCTTAATATTAATATACATACAGTGTGTGTGTATATATATATATATATGTATATATCAAATAGAGTAGCACTAATTGAAAATAAAATAAGAAAAAATTTGGAAAAAATATCTTTTAGTGCACTATTTAGAAAGGGTCACATAAGTCATTTTTTTTTTTTTTTTTTTTTTCCCAAAAAACAGGGAAGTAGATTTCAAGATTGAGGTTTAAAGTTATACAAACTAAAATAAAATCCATGCCTCAATGAATGCGCAGAGTCTACAGTGTTTATACAGTACAAGCCCAGGAGTAGAAAACAACCAGGATAGTGTGCTACATCATGAAGCTTCTTAAAGGTATTATCCTTTAAGTTGTAAGAGATAATCATGTTGGTGCCTACAAATAGCATCAAATACACATCTTCTTCATCTTCTCCATCTACTAAACCAAACACAGTCACGATATGGCTCATAATCATGTCCCGTGATACAAAATCTAACATCCCGTTAAGGTCAACCCGATACTTGAACGACCACTTGGAGTAATCGCTTTCCATCTCAGAGATGTCAATACTGTATGTGGTGTAACTAGATGACTGAGTGAAATGTAAACGACCTCCAGACTCCCCAAAATGCCGGAAAAAAAAAAAATCAAAATTATGTAATATTGATAGAGATGGCATTGGGCACAATCTCTCCCGATCAACATCAAAGTATATGGGAGCTTGTTCTGGGTGGAAGGAAACCCAATGGATGGAACCATTGGAATAGACTCCATAATCCAAGTGCGACGGTGATTCTGACCTTGCCTGGATAGTATCACCACCAAAGGGTCTCCAAGCATTGGTTTCTGACGAATAAATATGAATTTGATACAAGTAATTATCCTTGTTATACTTGTGTGGTATTCTCTGAAGCAAAGATCGGGGACTATAGCCTGGCTTTTTTGAACAGCAGAGCAGCAGACCATTGCAGTTGTATTGACATGGTACATCATCTGTTTCGTTGAGAGGAATGTATTTGATTTGACTATTTGAGTTCAGGATTCACAGGTGAAGAAAAGGCCGGAAATTTTGGGATGATCATGGGATTGTTTGCGCTCTTGCCAGGATAGAGAAGGTACGATCGGAGAGTAGAGAGAACCCATGTTTTCGAGACAGAGTCGAATCGAAGGAGGCATTTCGGCGGCAGAAGCAGAAGGATTTCCATCACCAGGTATGATTTCAGCAGCGGCGGAGGAGATTTGGGCACTTCTTCTTCTTCTTCTTCTTCTTCTTCTTCTCTTCTCTCTACCACTTCAGATCCTTTCCTTTTTTTGAAATGTTCTAATTATTATATAGGCAAAATAACAAATCCTAATACAACTCTGTAAAGCGAAAAAAAAATAGTGAAATCCTAATAAAAGACGGACAATCTAAAAATAAAATAAAATAAATTATATACAACTCGAAACCCAATAAATAATTATTATTTCAATATCTAAGATAAGTTTTAGCTGTTGATGACGCAAACCTCAGGAAATTTACTACCAAGGAGAGGTGCAAGGCAGACGTAGAAAGTTGTGACCTTTACACGCATCTGTTGAGAAACAGAGAGATCGCGGGCGAAGCTGATCCGAATAAACAATCGGTAAGTATAAAATAGTTGTGGCTGGAAAAACAGATAGATCCAGTCGGAAAGTATATAAAACTGGTACCGTTAGATCTGATCAGAAAACAAGGGAAACGGCGAGACACTTAGAAAGTTGAGGCCTTTGCTCAAGTCTCTGGAAAAACAGAGACCCCGAAGGCAAAGCTGGTCGGAATAAACAATCGGAAAGTATATAAAACCGGCACCGTCGGATCTAATCAGAAAACAAGGGAAACGGCGAGACAGATAGAAAGTTGTTGCCTTTGCTCAAGTCTCTGGAGAAACAGAGAGACCGCCGGCGAAGTTGATCGGAATAAACAACCGGAAAGCATAAAAAACCGTCACCGGTAGATCTGATCAGAACACAAGGGAAACGGCAAGACAGATTGAAAGTTGTGGTCTTTACTCAAGTCTGTGAAGACAAATTGACAATACGGAGAGAACGCCGGCGAAGCTGATCGGAATAGACAATACAGCCACCGGCGGATCTGACCAGAACAGACGAGCGCCGAGTAGGTGGTGACTGACAATTTGCTAAAGAAAGCCCTAGGAATTGAGATTAGATAAAAGAGTCACATAAGTCAGAGGGTAATATTAGGAGAAAAAGGAAGGCCAAAGAAGAGAGTAAATTCAAGTCGTGAAGGAGACGAAGGGTGGAAGTGAACCTGTGATGAACTGTTGTATGTCACTAGCACCCAATGGTTGAATGTTCTAAATACCATAAATAATTGTTACTCTTTTTCTGTTAAATGATGCAAGTTCAATGAATTGGTATTTTTGCAACAATAACATTGCCTACTATGAACAAGCACTTGGGGTTGAAGAAGAAAGAAATGAAGTTTTGGATACTAACAAGGACAAAGTGGTTCATTGAAGACAATAGAGGGTGGAATCACAAAGGATACGAACACAACAAAGTACAAATTAGAGCTATGAGAGAGTGAAGAATAATGAGATTGTTAAAAAGTACTCACCCTTCTTGTAACATTTATTGGGTTGAAGTTTTCTTGGACTCTTGATTGGATCCATTGTTGAAATGGCTATGATCATGTATTAATGGAGTTCACATATAAGGAATGTGAGAGAGAAATATATGATGGGGACCAACGGGCCTTTTGCCCGGTCTAGCGGTATAATCTCCTAGATGAGAGAGAGTTGGAGACGTGAACAAAACGATGTGTATGTTTGCGATTGCGAGAAAAAAAGAAATATATGATAAGAGTCTTAGAGGACTTGGTAAAGATTCCTATATGACTGAACATGGTGAGGAAAAGGGAAGATATTTAGTGGATTCAACACATGCATGGTGCTTAATTTATAATTATTTTGTATGAGGAGGGTGTTACTTTTTGAAAGTCATGGCGAAGTAAGAACGTGTTTCTTAATTGCTTGGCTTTTCACATTTTTCGCTTTCCATTACTTCCTCCAGATGGTTCTGAATTTTAAAAAAGAGTGATGTTATACAACCCGATTTTAAAAAAACCGACAATATACGACTTTTACGTGGCTATCTGTCAGTGGGCCGCTTGGAATGTGAAATAATGTTCTAAATCATATTGCCTTTCTAGATAGCATGTGTACAAGAAACTCCTTGGCGGAAGGGTTTTATCCCTTCTCCCACTCCTTATCTTCCCTCATCGGCCTTAGTCATTCCTTCCGCCGGAAAGAGTTGCTGGGTGGTGGTTGTAGGCATGGATTCCTCATCGCCTGAAAATCAAAATATATGAGTATATAACTTGGCAACTCTTTTTATCTCCATCACAAGAGAAGTGTACATTCCTCTCTTTTGCAATCAAAGAACCTGGATTCAAGAAATTCACAAATATGTCACCGAAATAAGTGGCACACAGATGTTCCAACGTCAATGGTGAAGAGTTAAAGTGATCGAGAATGCTATGAGCAGCGCATGAAGAGGGTTGCGTGGAGTGATGCCAATTTCATCTCAAACCAATCAGATTGTTGCAGTGAATGTCATACGATAATTCATAATCATGTTCGTTTTGTTTACAAACCGGGGCTGAAATATCCATGGAATCTCAACACTCATTAGTTAATTGCATAAAAATTGACAAAACTAGAGAAAATTAGGGCTTTGAAGAGGCTAAACATATTGAAGATTAGTAATTTGGGTTTGACTGATACATAAGACCTCCAAAATTCAAGATTATTTTAAAGTCAAAACTGGTAAATTTTTTAGTCGACGGATAGAAGAGAATTGGGATCCAGAAATGGGTTTTGAATTTGTTGGCTGGGATGAGTTCTTGGGTTTTGATTCTGCTGGTTGGAATGAGTTCTTGGGTTCTGATTTTGCTGGCTGGGATGAGTTATTGACTTGATGAAATTTGTTGACATATTCAGAGAAGAGCATAAAGTCGTGGAGACATGCTATGTCAATAAGTGAGTCGGTTATTTGTCGGTAAAAATTAATCGTTCAAAATATCATTTTTCTTTTAAAAAATAACTAAAATGGCATTTTGCTGGAATATGCGCCGTCTTCTAATTTTAATCCTAGGATGAAAAAGCATCTTTGTGACGGCTGACACTTACAAAAAATACTAAATGGCGTTTTGATCGAGTAAGTATAGGTGACTAACCAATTTAAAAGGTGTATTTTAATTGATTAGGCATATCAACTTACTGATATGCCCAACGTATCCTATCTCTACTCCTCCTCTTATGTGAATTAGATAGTGGATTTCACAATTTTTCACAATTAATTAATTAATTAATTAATTAATTATTATTTTTTTTTGGGAAGAAATACGTATTCACTTAAACGGTTTTAAGTGAGAATGTATCGACTATAAGATCCTTTGTAGTCCCACAATTGATATAATATATTAATTGTCTTACTCTGTATCATCTAGCATTGTTAAGCGCCAATTTCTAAGCCCATATACTAGGCCCATATATCCAAATTTATAAAAACGACCGATAGAAGGAGTTAGAGACCTTGCTTCAGGTTGTACATTGTTGTGATATTTAGACCATTTCAGACCAGGTATGAGTTTTATCGGTTCAAAACGCTAGGTCGAAATTGCATGATTTTTTGGTTGGTATGCAAATTTGGCAATCTAGATGCCGAAACGATGTTTTTTTATTTTTTATTTTTAAATATACCTTAAGCTACCAAAATAACAAGTGAGTGATGGTATGCATAGGTCAAAACGGTTTGGTCGAAACTGCACGATATTCTGATTGACATGCAAATTTGGCATTTTAGGTGTCTAAATGATAAAATGAGAAGATGTTTTGGTGGATTCAACACATGGTGCTTAATTTCAGTATAATTATTTTGTGTGAGGGTGTGAGGAGGCCCCGGACGACATGGGCCGGATCCGACTCGCAAACACTACATTCAGTTCGTACAGCTGGGTCGGCCCATATAAAGACACTGCCATATGGGCCGAACGCGAGTAAGCCCATCAAAGGTGACCAGGACTTATGGAGGAATAGGCCCAGATCCAGCAATCAGTAAATATCTTGTAAATATCTTGTAAATATCTTGTAAATATCTATAAATAGGATAAGGAATGGAAATGAATGGGATCTTTTTGGGTTGAGGTGTAAGAATTCTAGAGAGAGAAAGAGGGGAACGAATTTCTTGCATCTTCAATTGGCACCGTCTGTGGGAAACGCATGGAAGTTTGGTTGATCAATGAGGAATATCGAATGGATTCAAACCAATTCGGTTGATCGAGACTCGATCTTTGGGATTTGGATCCAGATCTGAGCGATTGTGACCTACTCTGGAAGAATTACAATTCTTGAAGCTTTGGCAGGAGTGACTTCAGATCTACGCAACAATGAGTTGTTCGATTGTGGCAGGATCTGACGGATTTAGAGTTCAGACAATTCAGATCTCGTAAACAGTGAGCATAATTCGGAGAATTAGAAGCCAGATCTAAAAATTCCTACTCACGAAGCTCGGATCTACTCGCGAACTTGAGATTAATGCCTTTACTCCGTTCGGGAATAATGATAGGTGAAAGCTCCAATCCGATAGAGGCTGTCCAGTAAACAAAGCTTGAGGAGTTGATGAACTTGATTGAAGCTCTCAAAAAAGAGAATGCAGAATTGAAAGCTGGAATGCAACATTGGCAAATACCTGCGGTTTCGCATCCACTTCCGGTCGGAGAAGGAGGTGTTCAATCTAATATCGCGCATCAAGGCGAACAGGACGAGAACAATCAGTCAGCTCACCACCGTGATGAAAAGATGATGGACAATTTGCCGCCAAATGTTCGTCGAGTTGAAGATCACGAAGGATCGACTCACGTTGATCCGCAGCGGGAAAGGTTCGACCGAGAGGAAGTGATGGAGGTTGATCGCCGTCGAGTAGCGTCGCCTTGGCAAAGAGAGTTCATAGAGGAACGGTCGTTCGATCCGTCTTACCGGCCTTCCATGGTTACTATCACTCATCACGGTTCGGAGGGCAGAACCGTAACTCACAGAGCTACCGCTGGACTCCAGAGAGAGAATGAAGCTCTCCGATCCGCAGCTCGGACGGTGGATTCACCATTCACCGACGAGATCTTGAATGCCCCGCATCCAAGGAAGTTTGCTATGCCAGTCTTTATTCTGTTCGACGGAACGATCGATCCGATCGATCATGTGTATCATATCCAGTTGAAAATGGCCCTGAATACGGAAAACGACTCTTTAATGTGCAAATGTTTCCCTACAAGCCTAGCCGGACCGGCGCTCAGCTGGTTCAAAAACTTGCCTAGGAGCTCCATTGGTAGTTTCAGAAACCTGTGCGATCGGTTCATAAGCCAGTACTATGGGAACAAACGCCCGCCGAAGGACATCTCGAGCCTATTCACGATGAGGCAGCACAAGGATGAACGTCTCCAGGCCTTTCTTACCAGGTTTAATCTCACTAAGAGTATGGTGATCGAATGCCACCCTTCTACGGCAGTTCAAGCCTTCAAGTTAGCCATGACACGCGGAACTCCGTTTCACACCAGTCTGGTAGTGAACACGCCGACTACTATGGATGAACTCAATGAAAGAGCCGATGGCTTTGTGCGCCTAGAAGAAGAGGAGGCAGCTAATGCTCGGACAACGTCGCTTGTGTCAACCGAGGAAAAGTCCAAGGCAAAGATCAGGCAGAAGCAGGCTCAGCCGCAACGTCAGACCTCTTGGAAGGCAGAAAAAAGGTCCAGGGAGGAAGAGCTGATTACTCCGCTGAAGGTCACTCTGGCGAGGCTGTATCAGGAGAACAAAGATAAGTTTCATCCACCACTGCCAATTAGGCAACCCCTCGAACAGAGGGATCAAACTAAACATTGTGCTTTTCATTCTGATTTCGGTCATCAGACTAACGAATGCAGGAACCTGAGGAGGCAAGTGGAGATGTTGATAGCTAGAGGGGAGTTCGCGAGTTACGTTCAAGGTTCGGCGATGGAGCAGAATCGACCGGTGGAACAAATAAAAAGGAGTCATAAACAAAGCTCCCACAATTCACAACCAGTTCGTATAATCAATGCTATCCATGGTCGACCCGAGCCTAGTGAAGAGTCAGATGAGCTGCTCCGGGTGCGCCTGCGGCAGGCGCAGATGAAGAAAAGGGTCGGCAGTGTGAATACTCTACACCAGCAGAGCCCGTCGATGCAGATAAAGTTCGACTGGACAGACCTGCAGCGTGTTCAACTGCCTCATGACGACCCGTTGGTAGTCAGTTTGACAGTGGCAGATTGCTTGGTGCGCAGAGTTCTGATCGATCCTGGGAGCAGTGCGAATGTCATGCCGAGGGACACATTTGACAGGCTCGAGATTAAACCAGAGAGGCTCAAACCCACTGGAAATCCCTTGTTGGGGTTCGATGGGAAGAGGGTGGAGCCCGTCGGGATGGTGGAAGTGGAAGTTCAAGCTGCAGAACGAGCTCTTATGGAAACTTTTGTGGTTGTGGAAATTCACCCCTCGTATAATCTCCTGATGGGAAGAGAATGGATTCACAGAGTCCGCGGTGTACCCTCAACTCTGCATCAGGTCATGAGGTGCCTCGGACCCGATGGAGATAAAGTGATAGACATTCGGGGGGATCAGGTCGCAGCCAAAGAGTGTTATTCCATCACACTAAAGCATGCTGGGAAAGGAAAGGCGCCCGTCCGTTCGGCAAGCCCCAGATAGCAATTACAGGAACCTCCGCTCGAGCAGAATAGGGTGGAGGAGTCAGTCGACTTGACCGAGGAGCCCCTTCTGGATGTGCAGATCGATCAGTCCAGGCCAGAACGAACTACCAGAGTAGGTATAAGACTGACCAGAGAAGAGCAGCAAGAGCTAGTGGATTTCTTGTCCCACAATGCCGACGTATTTGCATGGAGTCACCTAGACATGCCTGGAATTAGTCCCTCCGTATCCTGTCATTCC